CGGAGCTGCTGAAGCAGGGCACTGCCACCGGGGGCGCTGTGGAGCAGCGGTGCCTGCTCACCTGTGCCCTGCTGGCCCTACAGGGCAACTACACCGCCGTGCAAAGAGAGGCCTCACGAGCCGTGCATAGGTGAAGCGTTTAGTTCAAATAGTTTGCTGTGCAGTTATTGGGATACACCTAGCTAATACTAAATCATTGAAGTTGTATGCTTAATAGACATTTGTATGGTGTGTGTTTTTTATGCTTTTTACAGCAATCCTGGAAACCCTTCCCTCTGGGCCTTACTGGCCAGACTGGTCCCACAGTACTGCCCCAAGAAGGCAAATGTAAGCATGCACACACACACACACACACACGGACACACACCCGTGCACAAAAACACACACACGCACACACATGCATACCAAGACACACACGCTCGCATTACACGTGTGCACATGCAGACAGACAGACAAACATGTAGAACTAATGGAAAACATATTCTATTTTATCCAGGTCACCAGTTGCCAATACCGTAACTCAATCCAAATCATCAGGAAAAAAATTGTGATTAAGGTCATGTTCTGTTGTGTATCCCAAGGGTGGAGCAGTGGCTGGCCATGTCGCCTGTCTCTCCAGCATGACACAAGGAAAGGTACGTACTGTGTATTTACATTACAATGGCCAATTTGTTCCTTAAAGGTGATTTGGTCTTTTTTTTAATTCAGTCTTGCCAACTTGCATAAGAGCTTGCAATTAACCTGTGTGTCTGCAGAGGGCGCTGTTGTACAGTGGCGTGAACCAGCTGGCGGGCGGCAGACACTCTGGAGAAGACAGGCATAGAAATGCGCTGAAGACCATGCAGAGAGCTGTGCTGCTCTGTCCTGGTACACACAAACACACACACAAACACACACACACACACACACATGAACTTAGACGCTCACACACACTCCCTCCTCTAACTACACTTTGGCTCTCCCTCTCTCTTTCTGTCATGTCTGGTGTGTTTCCCCACTCGTCTCTGTGCTACCAGACGATCCGGCCGCATGGGCCGGCTTAATGGCCGCCTGCCACACGGAGAACGCCGCCCGCTACCTCTCCCACAGCGCCACCCGCACTGAAGGGCTGGAGCCCATGCTCATGGCGGTTGTCTCCGAGAAAGGTGAGGAATGTACACACTTAAGTTTTTCTGTTCCGTAAACACTTCTGATCTTTTTTTCCTTGTTCATCTTATTTGGTGTTCACTGTTTGCCACTGTTGAGGTGTACCCCTCTTTCTGTGTTTGTGTTGTCTCCCACCAGTGCGCTGTGTGGAGGAGATAGAGCGCCCCCTAGCGCAGGCTTTGGAGGCCTGGGTGTTGCAGCAGGCGCTGGCTGGGCTCACACTGGGGGGGAGGCTGGAGGAGGCCGAGGCCCTCTGCTCACAGGTAGGGAGTACACACACACACATGCGCACACACACATGCAGGTTAGATCAGGCTAGGAAAGTCTAGCAATGTGTGTACCCCACATTGTGATTTTGGGTACTCAAGTGTATACAGCAAGTCAAGCTACCCGCCTGCCTCCCTTGTCAAATTAGGTTAAATTTAATTATATATTTAGTTTTAATGTATCCCTTCCTTCCTTCCTTCCTTCCTTCCTTCCTTCCTTCCTTCCTTCCTTCCTTCCTTCCTTCCTAAATGTAAATCAGCAAGACTGGAACGATAGCTTTGCTGAAATTCACATACAGACTTCAGATACATCATATAAAAAGTAATGAATTAAACAGCTAGGAATCAGAAGACATGAACAGATTAAGATTTAACCAGCTCCTTTATATATGTATGTATTAATATCTTCTTTTCTTTCATCTTGGCAGGTGCTGAGCGTTTCTCCGGAGCACCCGGCCGCGGTGCTGTCTCTGAGACGGGTGCAGTGTCAGCGCCTCCTGCTGGCCGGTGTGGGTACTGTGCTGCCGGACTCTGTGCTGGAGCAACTCAGCAGCAGTGTTATGGTTAACCCCACCAACCTTGGGGCGTGGCATGTAAGTGGGAGGTCGTCCTCGATTCAAAACGAAATGAGAGCTCGGTAATTTGCATTGCACTGCTGGCGGGGCTGGCTGCTGATGAATATTTCAGGACAGTTTGTTGCTTTGAAATTGATTTTAATGCGTTTGGCGCACACGCTCCCTTTCTACACACAAACCGGATTTTAGCATTTCAGTGGAGACTAAATGAACCTAATTCACGTCCATTGTCTCGCCCTTGAATGTCCCCAAAGTACTTGTCAATGGTCAATGCTCGTAATTGAATTCCTCATCATTGCATGCAAAAAAAGATAGCATTGACTGACAATCTAATTATATCACATAACAGAATTACATTACTACAATAATACACAATATTATAATGCCCATTTTCAACGATTTATTTCCATGGCGTTGCGTTTCGGAGAGTGCATTCATTAAAACAAGAGACGTTGGATGAATTTCTTGGATATCTAAGAATTTACAGTTATATAATAGTAATAATGAGGTGTTGGATAACATAAGCCACTATAAAAGCTGTTCTAGAAAATAATTGACTTAATAGCGGAATTTCCTGTGTTACCTTCTTAAACCTGCTCTGGCGAGATGACTTTCGCCAGAGCTGTCCACTGCTCATAGACTGTGGACTAATGACGTACTTTCAGTGTGCCCTCATTGAGGTCTTAGACAGCTGCACTCCTGATCAAATGACTGCAACCAGCAGGGAAGAAAGTCTCTCTTTGAAGTCTGGGGCGTAGTGGTAGGCTTTCACCCTGGTTTGCAGCACGGTATCAATGCTTGATGTAACTGCTACTGAATGGCGATCTGTGTGTCCACCTCATCCCTTGTATAAGGTGAAAGATGGTGGTATTGTAAGAATGATGTCATACATGTCTGCATTTCTTGTCTTTCTCTGCTCCCGACACTTGCCGGAGCTTCTGCTTCTTTCTAAATCATCATATTTCTTCTCTCTCCACCCCTTCCTCCCTTGTCCCCCTGGCCTTTGTAATCCTCCCGTATTGTCCTTCCCTCTTTTCTCATCGCTGTCTCCCTCGCTGGCTTTCCTCCTGCTTATCACACTGTATTGTCTCTCTCTCTCTCTCTCTCTCTCTCTCTCTCTCTCTCTCTCTCTCTCTCTCTCTCTCTCTCTCTCTCTCTCTCTCTCAGTGGCTGGCTGAGGTTTATCGCAGCCAGGGCCTGCTTGTCCAGGCTGTGATGGCCTACAGACAGAGCCTGCAGCTCGCCTCACAGTTGTGCCTGCCCAGTGCACAGATTGCCAGCCTGCTGGGCTTGGCTCTGCTCGCCCTGGGGCCATGCATGGTGAGTGTCCATTAGGGATGTCAAATCTACATTCGACATTCTTAGAATAGGAAAGAAGAAAATGAACATTTGAATTGCTAAATTAAAAAAAAGAACTTTATAATATGTATATATGTAATATGTGTGAATAATAATAGTAATATGTGCGCTAAAAATCTTGACTTGTACTGTGTCGCAAACCATCATATGTGTGCTCTGCATGCCTCTTTTTTTTTCATTCGCGCATCGCAGCTACAAGCCAATCACGTAAGAGCTTGCTCACGCTCACGCTCACACTCACTGACCAGCTAACGACATGGCTAAAGGTCAGAAGAAGCACATGCTGAGTAATTGCCTCTTAGCAATTGTCACTCCAGAAAATCTAAAAAGGGCCGTCTGCCGATACTTTGGCTTCTAGTGGTCAGTTGAAGGAGAAATACGGTCAAAGAAGAAAGCGGTATGTAAACGGTCATTTAGAACAAGCTGCACCACGGCTCATGTAAAACAACATGTGCAAACTACTCACCCGACAGAGTTCGCACAGATAGCCACTGCCAGCAGCGTGTTACCAATGTTACCAAAGACCTTTCCTTACAAGTTGAAGGTGTTCTGAATATTTTGTCACTAAATCAGCATTTTTTTCCTGACTTGTAGCTCCAACGAAAAACAAGTTTGTTTGAGACCAGAACTGTTCCACCCCATTGGCGCTGCTTTGAATGCGTTATTTTATTTTTTGGTCCAGTTGACAGCCCTAGTCTCCATGTGGGATGGAAACTGAGCATGTACCCTCATCTTCATCATCGTCATCATTGCACTCCCATGAGTATGCATTTCATTTGATCTGCGTTTTTACTTTAGCGTCAGAAGTCTTAAAGCCTAGCAGGAATGCTGAAGTTTGGTTGTACTAGATTTACAATCCGGAGGTTTTTCTTTTGCAGAGGAAGAAGACTTTGATGACGTAACTCGTAGGGTCGTTTTGGGATGTGTAGTGCCAGAGGCCTCTTGTGCTCTCATCGAGTCACGTTGGCAGGAACAGGCTAGAGGGGAGCTGGCTAAATAGCCAGATATGATAATGTCGGGTAATTAGCCAAGGTCAAGTGGAAATGCCCCCTGGCCCCTCTCTTGTCTGTGAGATAAGTTGACTTTTGCATTGTGTTTTTTACCACAACACAACAACACATCATCAGTAGGGTAAAACTAACCTGTCTCACGACGGTCTAACCGTCTGGCTTCTGTGGTAGTGTAACTGCACCAGCAACAACTACAATTATTTTGACCTTTCTATATATGGACTTGTAAAAATCTAAAATTAGCTAAAGTATTTTTTGGTTTGTTGCTATCTACGTGTATGATCATCCCAGGCTGGTGTCCATGGCAACGAGTGGAATGAGCTTGTTCTGGAGGCCACTACCGAAGCGTTGAAGCTGGCTTCCTCCTCCATGGCCCTGCTATTCCAGGCACTTCTTCAGTTTGCTACAAAGATGGCGGCTAGGTTGGTGCTAGTTTATACTTTGCCTCTTCTATCTGCCCCAAACACCAGCGGTTGGATCCCTATACTTGGCCATCTTATACCATATAGCTTTTAGAGTCACGTTCACAAGAGAAACAATATGTTGATTTGAAGCAGCAATACTCAATACTCAATACTATCACTTCACAACTGTATTAGAAACAATACTTGCCGGGTGTGTCGACTCAATGGAGTTGTACACATGCCAAAATAGATCAGTTCGGAGAGCATTAGAATGAAGGTCTAAAGGTCCCCGGTTTGATCCCGGGTTTTAGCAATGTTTATTTCAATGGCAACCATGTTGGCTTGTAACACCTCATAAAAAACCACTTCATAAAATAGTGTCATAAGTGTTCAGTGTCTTAGGTAGCTTTTCTGAAATGATTGAATTTGCCTGGATGTCTCTTGGCAGTCCCCTAGCACTAGATCACTAACGTGACATGGAGCCAAGAACCATTTATAAAATGTGTTTTTCTCCAGAAAAACATCAACCACAATCGGTAATGTGAAAATTAATGGTAATTTTTCCTAAGGGTCAAAGCACTAGCCTATATCGTATTACCCAACTGTGGCCTCAGTTCTACAGTAAGGCCTCCGAGTGAAAAACTCACCACCACCGGCCCTTTTAAACTCTTGTGTACATCTATAACTATCAGTCTCTCGCGGGACCTCAGATTGTATCTCACTCTTCTCTGTTGAATGTGTCTACCCCGCCCCCCCCCACCCCCAGGGAGACCAGGCGCCTGCTAGAGAGGCTGGCGTACCCTCCCTGTCTGGAGGAGCAGGCGAGTACGGTGGTGCAGGTGGCCCGCTGGTACCTCCTCAAACACCTCCACGCCAAAAACGACCAGGAACTGATGGACGTGAGTGTCGGGGGAAGCGTCTGGATTCTGCTCGAAACTGTCTTTTCGAAACTATGAGACATTTCTTTATTTGTTTAAAGGGATACGCTCTGTCCACTAATTGCATGCTTTGTTTATGTACTTATTTGAGCACTGCGTGCAACACAGACATGAGGTGGTATTTGCATGTGAAGAGTACACACAAGTATTCTTAAGAGGAGCAGGGTCAGCTTGTAACTTGCTCATAGTAGTAGTAGTAGTAGTAGTAGTAGTGGTGGTTTGTGTTGTATGTCTACATGATCAATAATTCACATTTCATTTTTTTCCCTGGGCAGACTCTTTTGGAACGAGCCAAATTGAGCGGAGACAAGAGATTGCTCAACTTGTATTCACAGCTCACCTCGTCTTCCTGAGCCCTCTCCAGAGACGCACGCACTCCAGCATTAACATACTCACATTCACATGGTCGACGCTGTCCTCGGACACCGTCGACACTGTGTGTGTGCAAGAATCATGGGTAATACGGCGCCAAGACCGGCGAACCTTCGGAGGTCACCACTGGCACAGATTCAAATGAAAAGTGCTTCACAGGACCCCAGTCCCACGGCTCAAACTACAATAAAAACATGTTTCACTCTGACGCAAAAGACGGTCCTCTTGATGTATTTGTTGAATGCATGACTGTGATGTAAAAGTGCAACAGTAAAGCAAAAGAGGATTCAGTGCAACAAAATGCTTTTGATCCCACGCAGCCGTTAAGTGATTATTAGGCATCATGATCACGTACAGTAATGACCCTTGCATTGAGCTTTGAACCAAACATGCAAGAAGGGTGTAATTGTGAGATTGGACTGAAGAGGCCCATTCTTTCCCGTTCATTTGTTGTCTCTCCTACCAGTGTTGTGCCCCTTGACTATACCTGTCTGTCTGTCTGTCTGTCTGTCTGTCCGAATAACAGTTACAGGTATTTGCGGTAATGTCAACAAACCTTAAGTTATGTAACATTTTCCAGGAGAAACGGGCGTTGACACGGTGCGCAGCTCAACCTATCACCAGCCGATCTGAGCAAATCCCACGTGGGCCGGTTAGCTCAGTTGGTTAGAGCGTGGTGCTAATAACGCCAAGGTCGCGGGTTCGATACCCGTACTGGCCATGTGTCTTTTGCACCGCAACAGCTTTTGACTGAGGAAAGTGACGACCACGTGTGTATCGCGCTGTTTTGTTTGCAAGTCAGTGCGGCGTCCGGTCTGTAGCACAACGACTGCGATAAATGTATTAATGTTGTCTTGAACATGCACATGCGCAATTGCGGAAGTGAATGACTAATCGACAGGATTGATGACCGCAAGGTGGTGCGTACCGGTAGACTCGGTATCCCCACCCCCATCTGCCGGCGATTGGAATTCGCCCTGCACATGGGTATGGCAAGGAACATGTTTAATATTCCTGTTTCCTATCCCAATCCGTTTGGCACCAATCACCAAGCTGGCTTTTTTTCACCTGGCACGCCATTGGCTGGTTAAACACGATGACGACAGAGAAGCGTCGCAAGCAGCTTTGTGTTTACAATTTAGTTGGTCTGATTGGTTGAAGGACTGTCCAATTGCTTGCAGCCATTTGAACTTTGGCAATGGCCGAAATAGCGTACCGGCCGAAATAGCTCTACCTACCTCAGGTTCGGCTCCTTTTCGGTCCATTTCTTGTCCAAATGTTGACCAATCACATCTTCCCCTTTCCATTTCTTGTCCATATGTTGACCAATCACATCTTCCCCTTCCATTTCTTCTCCATATGTTGACCAATCACATCTTCCCCTCCATTTTCCGCTAAGCCAATCGCGAGCCAGTAGCGGTAGTAGTAACGCGAATATAAGCACATAGCACTTCGGAAAACTACACGACAAGGTAAATATTTGATATACATTACGACACATGATTTACATTTACAGATGAAATTAAATTGTGGAAATGAGCGACATTGTAAAGGCGGTAGCTCGTTGGCTTACGTAGTACATTCGTAGTAATCCATTCAAAGTCCGATGGCGCCAACTAAAGTTACAATGCGATCTATGTTGTCATGTATCCTCGCTTGATTTCTTATATCGTTGCTTAATTTCTTCGGTTGTCACTTCACTAACTTCACCGGTTAACGTGTTGGCATCAGTGTCGTGTTCGACCCAATAGCGAATAGCGACAGTAGCCCAATAGCAACAACACGACGTTAATAATGAACATTAATAATTTACCTGTTTAGTCGGATATGATTGATTGATTAGGGATTATTTGTTTCGTATGTATGATTTGGAATTGTTAATTGTCATCTATAAACAACTATTATATTGTTATACCTTCACCGTGAACCTGTACACACACACACACACACACACACACACACATATATATGTGTATGTATATATGTATATGTGTATGTGTGTGTATATATATATATATATATATATATATATATATATATATATATATATATATATATATATATATATATATATATATATATATATATATGGCATATAGCATATATGTCTATGACAATGTATGGATACTTAGCCTTTTTTCCTCTTGGCTTCAGATGTCTTCTAAGAAGCATAGAGCCATGGGGGCTGAGGAGTGGGTGTGCCGCCTGAAGGCATTTGCCTCTTCTGGCACTTGGCCCTCAAGTGCAGGGAACAGGCCATCTCCGAGGCAGGCCAAATGGTTCAACCTATACCAGAAGGTAAACTTTGTCTCAACAGTATACCAAAATGTCAGAGTAAACCGATTGTGTCTGTAAGTAAATCATGCATTTCAATTGATTGCAGATTGAGAAATGTCCCATGCAAATGCGCGGGCAGACCTCACTCTTCAGGAGGGCGCAGACATGTACCTGTGGCTATCACCCCCGGCAGGTAATATTGAGAGCCTGGGTGAAATAAATGCATTATGTAGGCTTACTATTTGTGGTGTGGACAAAATCCCATAATCAATAATATGGATTAGTATTAATGCTTGTTTCATGGGTTAATCTTTCTCAGTCTGCGAGTAGTCCTGCAGCATCCAGGCCAGCTGCCTCAGCCTCCACTTCAGCTGCCTCAGCCTCCACCTCAGCGGCCCCTGTACAGAGCCCTGGGAGGCCTGCATTGACGCTGTCAATGGTGAATATTTCAATCACATTAATTACCATGTCATTCACCTGGTTTACCATGATCAACTCATCTCTGTGTGTTTACATGTCTTTCATGTCATATCATTGTATGGTATTGGCGTGTATATATGTTCTTTTTAACACCATTTTATTAAGACTATTCTTGTTTGATTTTCAGTTTGATAAAGCGCGGTTCGGTGGGACTTTGTCTGCTGCAGCCAGGCCTAATCTCAACGTGACTAGGAAGCATGTTGAGGTAATACATGTACCTATAGCGGTGCCTGATGACTTACAACACAGCCATTAAGCCATACACTATCCTTGTTTTGTAACCTGACTTCATCAGGTCCGTTTCCCCCTCTCTCACAGCGTCCCTCCAGCCCTGCCACTACCCCAGCTGGGAGAAGCACTCCCTCCGCTACCCCACCTCCAGCGACGCCTCCTTCCAGTCCGAGATACATCAGGCCCATCTCCCCTTTCTCTCTGCCCCCATCCAGCCCTGTTATGTCCTCTGTGAGGACCGGCTCGTCCCCTCTGGTTAGTGCAACTGTAATAACCTCCATGCTGGTCTTACATACTGTAGCGTGTAGGGGATAGATGTTTTATTGTCTTTTTCATTTCTTTATGTAGGTTGAATCAGATAAGAGTCTTGCTCCTCCTGGTCCCGTCCCTGGTCCTCCTGGTCCCGTCCCTGCTCCTCCTGGTCCTGTCCATGGTCCTCCTGGTCCTGTCCATGGTCCTCCTGGTCCCGTCCCTGCTCCTCCTGGTCCCGTCCCTGCTCCTCCTGGTCCCGTCCCTACCCCTCCTTGTACTACTTCATTTCTGGGTCAGACTCCAGATCAGTTCTGGCTGCCAGCAGAAATGAAGAAGACCATTCCCCAGCAAGACCAGCGCTGGATTGCGTCCACACTGTGGAGGAACCAGCGGCTGCGCCCGGACGTCCAGCTCTGGTATGAGCCACCGGTGCCAGCCCTGATTTACAACCAGGCCCCGACACCAGATCGCTTTTTCGCACACCGGCTCCTGGTGTGGATGCCCTACCGCCTGTGGAAGGTGAGGCTGTCCTGCCCAAAGTGTGGGAGGCAGCTCACCGGGGCCGGCATCCACAAGCGGGCACGGCAGGTCTTGGACGTGGACAGGTACTACCTGATGGTGACGGAGACCCTCAGGTGCAACTCCCCCGGTTGCATTACAAATTACCTGTCCTCGAGCAAGACCGTCCTGGACCAGCTGAGCCTGCCTCTCCGTGGGGAGTTCCGCCTCATCTTGACACAAAAGTGAGTTCTAATCAACACAT